AATCTTAGCTGTGTTAGTCTTGATGAGCTGGCAGATCGAAGTGCCTGTCATTTATAGATAAGCCCCTTGCAGACAATGGTGATGAGATGCTGGTAAATTGGTCTGTTACAGTGCATCCTTGAGACTTCAGCAAGGTGGAGAAGAAGCACTCAGGATTGCTGCTGTTTTGAGGGGTTGCCTGTGACTCATTTTGGAAGCGCGGAGCGCTTAATAGCTCTCTGTTTCCCGTTGATTTTTGTTGTTGCTGTTGTTTATGCTATGTGACTTCAATAATTCCTTTTGTCATGCCATTGTTACTGACATGAAGGCAGCTGTTTGCTTTTATTTGATAAAATCAGTGATGGCTGGATCCTCGTTGTGGAAAATATACTTGCATTGTATGGATGTTTCATCCATACGTGCTAGAATGACTTAGTGGCTTATGTACCATCCTGATCAGTTCATATCGTCCATGCTGTTGCTGAATGCTTTCATTTCACCATTTAAACTCAGAACTGTTAATGCAGAATGTTCTGTTGCATGAATGGTGTTGGAGATGTACAAGCTAAAGGAAAATAGAGAAAAATAGCGTATGGTAAATGCCTCTTTATGTACAGTGTTGGTATATGGGATTTTGAGTTGGTTGTGTTGGTTCCCGGACAGAGTTCCAGAGCAGCAATTGGAGGCTTTCATAGCTACTGGAAAGCAAAACACTGCTTTTCATCGAGCTTGGATGTTTGCTTTGAGCAATAATCATGTTCATCACCTGGTGGAATCAGAGCTTCTGTTACGTGTGTAGTTGTATTCCTAATTAAAAAAAAAAAAAAAAAGAAGTTCATTATGGAATTGCTGCGTTCCACTGAGAGTGGTAGCAATGCCTACCTTAATTAATATGCATCTTATACTTTTGGGTTTTGGACCCAGATTACTGTGACTGACTTCTGATAATAATTACAATGTAATTAACTTAACGCTTGGAGATACTTCTTGATATTAGATTCCAGTAGCAAGTCAACCTTTTTTTTTTTTTTTATTCACTGAATATTTAACTTAGCACAAGAGTGTGATGTGATAACAGGCAAACAAAAGTATAGGTCATGTTGGTTTTTTTAATGTGTGTGTGTGGGTTTTTTTTTTTTTTTTTCAGAGAAGCGTATGTCCTACAAAATTTATTTGCACAAGGCTGTGTTTTGCAGCCAGAGTAGAAGGTTAGCACTTTACATACACACAGGCTTCTTTCCTCTCTTTTTTTATTTGTACATCACCCATTTTCTTCTACCTAGGGGTTTGGTTGTTGCGATTCTTTTTAGCTTTTGCCAGTACGATATTTCAGCTTTCATCTGTCTTCCCTTCTGAGTAAGACTTCTTATGAATCACTCAGGTTGAAAGGTACATGAAAGGTGCCTGTTGTTTTCTCTGTGTTTCTCTTCATAGTTTTTTTATTTTTTCTCTGTGCCTCAGGAGAAATTATAATACAGGTTAAGATTTGCAAAGCTGACACTTGTCCTGTCTCCTGGGATGTCAGATAGCTATTTTTTTGCCTGCCCGAAGCTGTTAAATGGAATTTGAGTGGGTTTTTTTTTTTTTTTTTTTTTTTTTTATTACTAAGTTCTACATGTTCTGTAGTTTTTGTTAGCTGGAAGTCAGTGGGCTGCAGACATCCCATACATTCAAAACTGTTAATGTTGCAGTTTTCCTGATGTGGCTGCATCAATCGAATAGAATAACATCCCGAACAGAATCCTGGCTGTGCTAATGTATAATTACTGATTTTCAGTATAATAGACAGTCTCACACATAAGGCTCTGTGTCAGGCTATGAAAAATTAAGCTCATAGTGCCACTCTGTAGGGGCCAAGGAGAAGAGGGGAGTGCACATCGTCAGCCTCCTGTCTGTTGCGCGGCTGGTCCCAAGAGACGTGCAGGGAGTTTGGGCTCCCAGGTACAATTGCATATTCTGGGATTTATTTTTCAGTTTTGTGCATTCTGTTTTGTTAAGTTAGTTCCTTAATCAAGAGTGTGTTGTCTTCAGTTTTTAAAATCACTTCTCTTTGGAGTGAAACAGCAGAGATGCATAATTTACCTTCAGCTGCACATAGAGAAAAATAACAGACAGCTGCTCAGTGACATCCAGAACATACTTATTCTTGTAAGTATCCAAGAAATTAAGCAATATAATTGAAATTTCACAGGAAGCGCTGAAGGATTTCATATTTCACGGTTTTAAAACAAAATGTTCAATTAAAGCAGTTTAAATGCATTTTTAAAGCAATTAAAAATATGTTTCTATGGACACGGTTGTATCAACACAGCCCACTTACGTTTAAACTGATTTATATGACCACGAAAGGAGTCTGTCAGCATGAGTTATTAAAAAATGTGATTTAATGTAACCAGTCTGTGCTGTCAAACTTGACTGAAGTGCAGTTTTGTGTCTTTTTTAATGCTTATTAATCTATACCAGTAGGTGATCTGGCATTAGCAGCTGTGAAACTGTGTCTTGATACAGCAGCAGCAACATGTTTTTCCAGCCTTTCCTCTTTTATTGCAGCAGTAAATGTTACTGGTCCTGCTAAAGGGTGCTGAGGATTCCTTTTTTCTGACTTTTTTTTTTTTTTTTTCCAGATTGTGTAGCTTTTGGTTAGAGCATAAAAAGAAGGTTTTTTTTTTTTTTTTTTTTTTTTTTTTAATTTGTTCCCCCAGTTACAAGAGTAACTCATGCATGGAAGTAGACTTTCCTTAATATTTATGCAAGTCTCTCCAAAAGTAATTTCTCCTATTTATTTCCATGGAAACTACAACACATGCAAAGTGCACTATAACACTGTTTGATAGAGCAAATTCTCAGCTACGAAACACTATTTTTTATCGTGGTCACCAGCATTAGCTGTGCATTTTCACTCTTGATAAACAGGAGCCTGCATGCCACGCTCATAAAAATCTTCATGACTGCCTGGAACATGGCTTGTCTTTCACATCGTTGTCACCACTGCTGAAATGCACCACCCACCACATCACTGTGCCAACATCCACTGTTTGGTCTCCATAAACATTCAGCAAGTGTTGACGAGTGTCAGTGGGTGCCATTTTTTCCTCATGGAGGAATTCAGTCCCATACTTGTGCTCTGTACACATTTCCTTCAGACTCCACTCTCAGACTACTCCTCTGCTGCCATCTGTCACACAGCAACAACATGTAATGGGATATTGGCAGGAAGGTTCAACCTCTACTTTTGTATTGCCAAAATCATAAAATAGGAGGCATTACTTTGTGGCTGTCTTTGTATTCACTAGTTCTGCTACTTGGTCTTTTTTCATTGTTCAAAGGTATTTAACTTCATTGTTAGTTCCACAAATTTCCAATAGGCATCAGCTTCTGTAGTCTAGTTTCATGATTAAACTATTGGTACGTATGACCATGAGTGTTATTGTGTGTGTGTGTGTGTTTTGTTTGTTTTTAAGTGAAGTGTTTCCTTCAGCTCTGTGAAAACTTGGTAAATGCAGCTTGACAGTTTATGTGTACAGTGTTGGAGGGTCAGGATGTACTTGTCAGTAAAATCTGCAGCGAGTTAAGCTTTGAAGATGAACTGAAAAGCAGGCGGGGGAGGTTGCTTTTGTTTTATTTGTAATCGTGATGAATCCAGCTGTATTTTCACATACAAATAGCTGTGCTGCCCCTAGCCATCAAACATTCATGACTGGGTTGCTGCCCAGCTCTGCCACTCCAGTATCAATTGATAAATCAGAGCATTTCTTTGGAAATATGGGCAAGGGGTTGTTCTCCGATTCTTAAATACAGGATTGCATAAGAAAATGATTTTCTGCACTTCCTATGAACAAAATGAAATAGAGGAATAAAATTTGTCTGTGGATGTGAACCAGGTACCTTAAATATAGAAGTGTTCTTACTAAAAACAAACCCAATATTTCATGTAAAAAATCATTTCTTGTATCTCCAACCCAGATGTTGTAGAACTGAATAATATTCTGAAAGGAAGCAAATTTTTGCTCTAGTTTCAATTAACTTGTAACATCTTTTTCTAGGAGGTTTTTAAATGAGTTGGAATCTCAGTAGGTGGCAATGGTTTTTTGTACATTTTCCCAGTAGACATTTTGACGCTTATTTAACTGCAGAGCAGTGTTTGCTGCCTGCTTGTAGCACTGATGGTGCTAGGCGGTTGGTGCGGGGAGCCTGTCACTCCCTGTGGGTAGAAGGGAGAACCAGTGAGCAGAGACGACTGAGTGAAAAAAGATGCAATAAACACGACAGTCCCAAGGCTTTATTTTCTAGAAACCTGTCATTTCCTGTGGTCTTGTATGTGAAGCTCAGTTTGCCAGTCTGCTTATCCCCGCACCCATGGCTTTGCAAAGGAAGGCACCTGTTATTTTCCTTCCTGAGTCAATTCAGTTGATTAACTGGGTGGATTTGGTTTTATTACAGGAAGAATAGCTTTTTGCTAAATGAGTGTGCCAGTGCAGCTAATTGAGGAGTCCAATCAGTGCAAGAGTGGGAGGGGGGACCTCTACTGGCAGTGAGCAGCTGAGCTCAGCTGCATGGGAAGGCAACAGCAGGTGAGCAGAAAAAATGTTAAGGCCCATTTGGTTGATTATATGCTCTTTTTCCAGAGATAATCCGCAACTCAGGAGTTTTGTGATCAGGGCGGGGCTTCTGAGAAATGGATTTAAGGCACTGGAGAAGCATATGATAATGATTGTAAGAAGCATAATGATAAAGGGGAGCGGCTGCTTATGAGGGTGGATGGTGATAGGACAAGGGGGAATGGTTTTAAACTAAGACAAGGGAGGTTTAGGTTAGATGTTAGGAGGAAGTTTTTCACCCAGAGGGTGGTGACACACTGGAACAGGTTGCCCAAGGAGGCTGTGGATGCTCCATCCCTGGAGGCATTCAAGGCCAGGCTGGATGTGGCTCTGGGCAGCCTGGTCTGGTGGTTGGTGACCCTGCACATAGCAGGGGGGTTGAAATGAGGTGATCATTGTGGTCCTTTTCAACCTGGGCCATTCTATGATTCTATGATAAAGATTGGAGAAGTATAAGATAAATCAAGTCCACAGTTTTATTTGGGAAAAGAACGTGTGAGGCACGAGGCTTTGCTTTGTGAGGCTCCATGTGCCCATCAAAAACTTTTCATGCAAATGAACAGCAACACCTGCGGATAGATCAGGTTGCTCAGAGACTCTTCCAGCCTGGCCGTGGAAGTCACATGCTGCAAAACATTGATCTACTGTAAGTTTGTCAGGTCACGATGGGACCAGAAGAATGGACATATGAATTTCAGAGAAGCTTTTTGAAAGGATCTCTACTGAAGAACAGAGAAATTATCTGCTCCTTGATTCCTATAGTGCTAGTACTTTCAGGTAATTGTATGTGCAGTCTTACCTGGGAAAAGAAGTTTCCAGAGTAGCTGAGCTCCACTGAAGTGGAGTTCTACGTCTGAATGTTTGCTGCTGCTTAACTGAGATCCCTGTGAGCTGGATCATTTTGTCAAGCCTTCAGGAAACTAACCAAAATGTATAATTTTATGCTCAGTTAACAACCTAAAATAGCTAATTATGTAGCTTACAGAAGCAGTAATATCAAAGACAGAAGGAAGGTGAGGCTATACATGAGCGACTTAATTTTCTTACGCTGTCCTTCTATACCTTTTGCCTTTTCCTGGGAATTTGGAGAAATTGGGTATTTGTGTAACTTTTAGGAGATGCTTGCTGGCCTGTTTTGATGAAAAATGTTTAGAACGTTTTCTGAACACAATTTAAAGGAAACCATATTTATGCAAGGGAAGCTATTTAGATAGTTGCTGAAGGATATGCTTGTCTGTGCTGTTCCATGTCAGTATTAATTAAATAACATATTATACATTTTGGCCTTAATTCTTTGGACAGACCATTGGCAATGCAGAGTAGGGTAGTTTCAAACCTGAAATCTCAGTGACTAACGAATGAAAACCAGTTTTCTTTCACTTTTTCAAGCTATATAGTATACACTTCTTGTTAAGAACTTTGTGTACGCTCAGTTTTTATGTTAGTTATATAATGGACCTTATTTTTTCCAGTGAAATCATAGAATACCTTGAGTTCTTGATCCTTGGGATCTCTTCCAAGTCCCAACCCCCCTGTCACAGGCAGGCCCACCAACCTCCAGGTGTGGTACCAGGCTGCTCTGGGCCCCATCCATCTGGGCCCAACCTGGCCTTGAATATCCAGGGACGGGGCATCCAGAGCCTCTCTGGGCAGCCTGTTCCAGCACCTCACCACTCATAGTAAAGAACTTCCCCCTGACATGCAATCTAAACCTTCCTTTCTTCAACTTAAAACCATTTCCCCTTGTCCTGTGACTGTCTACCCTTGTAAAAAGTTGATTCTCCTCCTGTTTATAATCCCTTTTTAAATACTGGAAGGTTGCAATGAAGTCACCTCATGGCCTTCTCTTCTCCAAGTTGAAAAGCCCAGCTCCCTCAGCCTGTCTTTGTAGAGGAGGTGCTCCAGCCCTCTGATCATCTTTGTGGTCCTCTTCTGGATCCTCTTCAACAGCTCCACATCTTTCCTGTACTGGGGCCTCAGGCCTGGACACGGTATTCCAGATGGGGCCTCATGAAGGCAGAGTAGAGAAGGACAATCACCTCCTTGTCCCTGCTGGCCACCCCTCTTCTGATGGAGCCCAGGATACCATTGGCCTTCTGAGCAGCAAGAGCACATTGCTGGCTCGTGTTTAGTTTTTCATCCGTCAGGACCCTCAGGTCCTTCTCTGCAGGGCTGCTCTCAGAGATCTCTCCTTTCGGTCTGTATGGATGCCTGGGATTCCTCCAACCCAAGTGCAAAACTTTGCACTTTGCTGTGTTGAACCTCATCAGGTTCACATGGGCTGCCTTTCGAGTTTGTTGAGGTCCCTCTTGGTTGCAAAACAGGTTCCCTAGTGAAAAACAGGTACGAAACAGATGGGAAAACAAACAAACAAACAAAAAGCATTGGAAACACTATAGCTAAAGTAGCTTTTAGGAAATCTATCAGCTGTAGGTAAAAATATAGTTAATAGTATTTATTGAAAGAAAACTGAAGTTGTAATAATTGCAATCTCATCACTGTGCATTTGAAAATGAAAGTATACTGTGAGGGCATGTGCAAGCATTAACATTCCTAGTTCCCTACTGTCATACTGAAATATAATTTTACTTTGAGATATAAAGCAATTCCACTTGTTTAATATCTATCAATATCTGTCTGTCCCCACATATCATCATAAATCCAGTAATTATAGTTCAGCTAAGTGAATATTACTTGGCTTTCTGTAGAGACAGTACATTTTTATTTTCTGTTGTGAATACATCATTAACTCTCTTCAGCAACTTAATCAGTGTTTTTATGCTGCTTATTCTTTTTCCTCTGTTAGTTGGGAATAATAATCACTGGGTTAAATGGGACTTGATTTGTAGTTTTTTAGTATCTGTTTAAGTATCTGTTTCTTTGTATCTGTAAGTATCTGTTTCATTGATTATTATTTTTTTAATCAAATCAAATAATTTGAAAATGTTTCAGTCTTTCTTCTACAGTTTACATATTTTGATGTCATTGTGTTAAGTGTTGCACTCTTTAATTATTTTTGCGAAGAATTTGCAATATTGATTTAATTAGAATTACACTTGAGTAGAACCTGATTTCAATTAATTGATTTGGAAACGCTTTGGCTTTAAACAGTACTGTGCTAGAGAAATAGGAGAATCTGAATTAAGCCAAAGCAAACAGAGCAGAAATCTCTTATTTTCTCTTACATAGTTTGTGTTGCTAACATGGCTTCTGGAGAAGTGTTTACTTGCTTCAGAATAACTTGAGTGCTAACTAAATTCAGACAGGAAATGTTCCTTATGCTTTGAAAATACATTCAGTCATTGCCAGAGCATGCCATATAGAAGCAATGAAGTCGTTTATCTTTTTGTTGATGTGACCAGTATTAACTACATTCTTCCATTTTTTCTGTAGTTAAAGTACCTCGTAATTTTCGCTTGTTGGAAGAACTTGAAGAAGGGCAGAAGGGAGTAGGTGATGGTACAGTAAGCTGGGGCCTTGAAGATGATGAAGATATGACACTCACCAGGTGGACAGGCATGATTATTGGGCCACCGAGGGTAAGCGTGACAATAAAATGTTGCAAGCACTACAAAATGCCAACTGGAAAAGGTTACTCCCTACATTGTAAGGGAATTAGTTGAAAGGTGGTGTAAAATTCATTGAAGGTTGTAGTTGTAGTTGAAATACTGTATATTCACATTAGAAGTCATCATTTTCTGGCATGTTAGTGTTTTCAGTCCAGCCTCCAGTCTAGTACATGTTTCTGCAACTGTTTAAGTCAGTTGTGTTTTTACACTTTCTACAGAGTTAGAAATATACTTAGTATTTCCATCATTACTGCCCATAAATGTACAGTGACAATGCAGTAAACAGGGTAAATTTCTTTCCAAGGTTCAAATCTGTGCCTAGCAGTTTTAGTTCTGTAGCAAAGATTTATCAGATAGTCTTTTACTATTGCAATTTATGCAGTCTTCTTGAATCGGTCCTAAAGAACAAGCAGTTGTTAGTTACTTCTAATAGGATAAAGTTTATAAATAATAATACGAAAAAATCAAACCCTTCTGACCTTTTAATTTCTATGAAATATCATCTTTTCTGAAAGCCTGCAAGAGATGTGATCATCCCTGATATGAGTATCAGCCTTACCTGGTATGAGTGGACACATCTTCACCTAACATGTAACTTTTGTGCAAGCTTGCTAATGAGTTAATATGATACAAGGGATCACCATTTGGGACTTTAAATGAGTTTACTTCCAGTAGCTCTAAGTTAGCACATCTTTCACTGCTAACACGAGTATACTGTCTTGTGCCTCCTTTGGTGCTGGAGGGCTTATTGACTTATCCAAGACAAGAACTGAGATCAGAATTTGACCTCAGTGAAGATAATGAGTTCCAGAGTTACATTCAGTGTAATTCAAGCTCCTTTTGGAAGTCAATTAGCTGTAGCATGCAGCAGTCTGTTTAGAATATCTGCATAATTGTATGGAACTCCTGAGGCTTGGATATGTTTGAGACAGGACCAATTTAAAATACAAACGTAATATGGGTATGCCTGGATACTGGGTTGTGTGGAGTCACAGTATTCAAATCTGTTCAGAAGAAAATTTGTTATAGTTTCCAGAACTGTCTGGCTGATTTCTGGTTTCACCTAAAGCAGATTCTTAATGCACCTTTGAAGGAAGTGATTATTATGTAGGAGGCTAAAGGATTTTACTAAAAACAGAACAAACCTCTGAGATGCAGTTTACATTCTAGTCAAATTATATTGTTTATTTTTTTTTCTTTCTGACTTTCTATGTAAAAGAGTGCAAGCAAGTAATATTCTGGACCATGTTACAGACTTGCAGTCTTGCTTAGAGTAGAAAGAATTTCAGTATGTGGAGACCACGGATAGTAAAAGTCACCAGCTCTCAAACCAGGATGGTACCTCAATGAAAAGAGCTGCGCATCCAGTTTTGGTGTTTGTAGAAGATGGGTGTTTTTGGAATTGGTTGAGTTAGGTAGAGAGTGTGCAGCTTGGCTGAGCACAGGGAAAGTTGCTAATACTTCCCACGGCATGAAGTTCTTCATATACCAGTCTCTGGAGCTGTGCAAGGAATTGCTTATCAATGTTTTCTTACTTGATTTGCAAGGTGAACCAACAAGGAAAGGGGAGGAGAAATTTGTTTTGAATGAAAGGAAACATTTTTCTGACCATGGAAAAATGCTTTTGAGACTCTTGGGGGAGCTGGTCATGGACATTTAACTTACAGTTAAGCATCAACTGGAAAAGCACAGCAAAATTGAAAAGCTGCCTGGATTGGAATGAGGGAATGTGAATGAGTGCCATTCTCAAGAATTTTCAGAGTTGTGAGTAATGGATGTACATTTTGGCCTGTTTCCACAACTGACAGCATTCTTCTCTGAAACGTGGTAGCACATATATTATCTGTAGCAGGACAAGATTAGTTTTTTGGGCTTCCTGCTTGTAGTGGGTAATAACTGTAGAAAATCTTTTTTTAAATTTATTTTTATTTTTTTTGTAGAAAGGTATCCTGCTTCCTTTTTGTTTCTTTCTGACCCAGTTGTTGGTTTATCTGTAGCTTCTTGAAATTACAGGACATGGTTAGGATCCTTCATGTGGCTGCCATTTACTTGGACACAAAGTGAACTTTTGACGATTAGACATTGAAGTTGATTCTTCTACTTGGAGTGAGTGACAGCTGGCTGATGCAGAACAGCTTGCAGATGGTACTTTCTGAAAGTTTGGCAGCATCTTTTTGCTGCAGGTTCATATTAGCAGTAGGCGTTGTGTAGGAGCTGGGTTTATATTCCTTTTGGAGTGCAGGCACTTGTGCATCAGTGACCAGTGGAGATGCTGATGCTTTTTATCATGCATGTCCTACTTCACAAGAAAAAAAAAGTTAGAATTGTTTATTTTTGATTGGATTTTCTCAAGATATACTTAGAAACAAGTAAGAATGAACTGTTAATGAACTCTTCCACAGTCGTTTTGGAGAGGTGTCTTCTGCAAAGGTGCTGTCACCTAATTGCACTGCCTGAAATTAATAAATGCTTTGGTAAACCAATCTTTAAAGGGCCATTTCTTGATTTCATTCCTCTCTGAAATATTTACTTGCTTAAAAATTCTCAGCAATGGGAGTCTTAGAAATTTTCTGGAGTGCTACTTACTTCTAGAATATGTATTTTTATTTTTCATCTTCTTTTTTGTTTGGTTATTCTCACCTTTATCTTTCCCTGTTCCCTTTTTGTTTTCTCAAAAGATTATTTTCTTCCCTTAGCTCCCTGCTGTGCTAAAAGTGCTTTGGCAATGTAAATGGAGTAAATGTGAATTAAAAAAAAATTCTGTTAAAATCTTTCTTATGGTACTGTCAATAAGTAGTATAATTTATAGAAACTCATCAGCTAACCAACATAACCAAAACAGTGGGATATCAGTTACTAATCCAATACTATCAAGGAGTACATAATCATAATAAATTTAATTATTTTGTATTTCTTTGTCTTTATTCCTCTTGCCTTTGCTTTTTGTTATTTTCTGAATATTCAGCTTTCAGTAAGATGCATTAGTCTGTCTTTTTGCTTTCTAGACAAACTATGAAAACAGAATATACAGTCTGAAAGTAGAGTGTGGACCTAAATATCCAGAAGCACCTCCTACAGTTAGATTTGTAACTAAAATTAATATGAATGGAATAAATAATTCCAATGGAATGGTAAGTTGAAATGGTAAGACCAACAATATTGTTAATCTGTACTATAAACTATTTATATCCCAGATGAGGATTATGCATGTTGGAAGGAGTTTTCCTATTTTAAATTGTACAGTATGAAATACTTGGTTTAAATGAAATTTTGGTTGCCTGTTGCACACATTTAAATCTTAAGGTGTTTACAGTATTTTAGTGGCTCTCAGTGGCTTGTTAGTGAGAGAGGCATTATTTATAATACTGAAACTCTTGTTTCTCTGAAATAAAATCAAAGGTTTTAATTTTGCACAGGAAAAAAAAATGTTTAAGCCATATATTTTCCATGGATTGCTCTTACAAAAATGACATTAGATTCTATCCTAACAGGAATGCTGTACTAAAGACCATATTTTGTTTAGTTAGTAAAGTTTGTTTTAGTATCCAAACTTTATCTGATATTTCCATTAATTACAAATGGAAATGTTTCTGCCTGAATCGTACTGTAGATGAACTGATGTGTTTAAATGCCTATTTTCTTTATAGTGGATTTATTCAGATCTGAGATTATTTTTAGGCTTCAGTCTTAAAGTCTTTTAATATAGGTAGTAACCACTTTCATATTAAAGATCCATTTGCAGTGAATTACATTCTTAGCAGTGTGTTTGAGCTGTTGTGAGTCTTAAAAGTATACTGATCATCCAAAGCCAGTGAACTAACACCTCAGCAATAGTTTAAAGGGGATTTGAAATTTCTTCCTGCATAGTCAACAACCCAACTCTATCTGAAGATCTTATTAAAATTGCTGTCTACAAACCAGCTGTTGCTCTTTATTCCAGCTGTAGCTTATAATCTCAGTATTTGTATTTATTAAGAGGTTGTGACCAGCCAAAGCTGCCAATCTGGAATGCAGTAGAGCTTTTGGTATGTTTATAATATTATTTTCATACGTCCCCCTTGTAACGTGAATTGTTCTGAATCAGTGAAGAAGTATGTTGTCATTAATTCATCTGTGCATGCCTGAGAATATAGCTGCTGGTTTCCAGAAGCAAAATTTCAGGCCTGCAGAACCTAAAAGCTTGTGTTTACTGAGCCCATCTGCTTGGAGCTTGTGTTTGGAGAAGTCTGGACTCCCTCAGTCTGATGAGAAAGGGGCTGAATATTGGGACCGGAAGTTTGATGGGTGGTTTTAAAAGCACTGATAAAATTCAGTCGTTACTATAGGAAAATCTGATTCTAATTCGTTTGCAGCAAAAGTTCATTCTTACCCCCAGTGGTTCTAGCAGATAAAATACATTATGAAGGATTTGCTGTGCAGATGCTTAACTGTACGTGTTTCGTGGATTTCAGTAGGAATATGTTGTACTTCTAACGTAAACTGTTCGCAGCACTAACGAATTTAAAACTCACTAAGTGATTTTTTGATGTACCCTTTGTCTTGATTTCTTGTGTTTTTAACTTGTTTTGCCGTTGTTCTCACTAAAATTGTGCCAGACGTATCAGATAAAGTGGAGGCACGTTTTACAGTTGAGAGCACAGAACTGGAATTCTGACGGAGAGCTGAGTTTGGCTTTGCTCCAACTTAGTTTTTCATTTTTGGTTAAGCCACTTATCTGTGGTGTATTCTGTGTGGATAGAAATGTCACGTTTCTGGAGGAGTGATACACAAAGAGCGTACAAGATATAGAGGCAGTTCGCTTGTGCTGAACAGATTCTTTTCTAATGGAAAGGGCAAGAATAAGAAGCCATTCTATCTAAACATGAGGGGACATTTCCCTGTGTGAGCGATAGCACTGGCACAGACTGCCCAGAGGCTTTGTGGTCTCCTCCTTGGAGATTTTCATATGCCACCAGGGCACTTTGCTCTGGCTGGGGTTGAGTCAGGTGGACCCAAAGGTCTCTTCCTAAGAGTAGGATAACTTTATATTTTCTTAGTTCCAAATTCAAAAAAACTAGACAAATCTTGGTTTTCATTTTCAATCTTCTAAGCATGCGTTTCAAAAATAGGGGTTTAAGTAAAAACTTTTGTTTATAGTGTGAGTATGGATGATAATATATGCATACTCTAAAAGCTGTATAGCTTTTCATTAAAGCTTCTTTTTAAACGTTAGTGAAAGTTGTTTTTTTTTTTCTTTCAGAACCAGGTGTTATTTAGAAATTCTAAAGCAATTCTGATCATAATAGAGGTCTCTTTGCAGTAGTTCTGTGCACATATGTTCCAGCTTGCTGCAAAATACTGGAAAGCAGAATAAATGTATGTATGTTTAATGGATGAAAGTATTATTCTGTTGCCTGAGCCACAAGCTCATATTCCTTTTCTTCTAAAACGTGCTCCAGCTTCTTTGGAATAGTTCATGTTTCTGCTTCCTATTTTATTTCCTTGTCTCTCTGAAGCTGCTCTCTCACTGATTCTTTCATATAATAGATCATAAGTGCTTTGCTGCATACTTTGAATGATTGAAGATGACAGTGTTTTGTCTTCAAAGAAGCTCTGCTATCTGTATTTCTGCAGCCTCTTTGTTCACTCATGGCTGTCTTTTGATCACGTTGCTTGTAGATGTCATGAAAAATATTGATGACTTGCAGAATAGAAACCCAAGATAAACAGCACCAGAAGTGTTGCCATGACAATATTATAGTAATACTCAAAACATTTTTGGCAGTGTTAAAGTATACAAAATAATTATGCCATAGCTCGAGGTAGAGTCCCCAGCATGAGCTTCAAGGATAATAATTTCTTTTGAGTTAAGTGTGAAAGGTGGAGGGGAGTGATGGATGTGTACTGGAGTTAATGTTAGCGTAAGAAAGCTAGTTTTAAACTGCTTCTGTGTTTTCCATTAAAGTGCAGTTATGTGTGTTGAGTTTATTCTTACTGAGTGTTGGAATATTTTGACTTCCAGTTGGATTGTTTTGGGAAGGAACTTTTGCTTGTGAGTGAATTTTCCATCAGCAGCATAACTTCAGAGACATTGTAGGAAAGGAGAGGGCTGCTTTAAGGGTATTTTGTATAAGAAGGCCTAACTTAGGTTCATTGAATCACCCTTGGAAATTGCATTTCTTATTTGCAAGCTTTAGCATGTGGTTTTCTGCTTTTCAGTTTGCCTGTGGAGCTACTGAGTTTGCAAACAGGACTGGGGTCCTAATTTCAGAAAAGCTAGTCTGAGTACTTACATATGGCTGGACAAAATGCTTTTCTGTGCTAATGGTCATTGTTGTACAACTGTATTTAAATTATTGTTCTTAATGCTGTGGAGTGTTTTTGGTTGGTTTTTTTTTTTTTTTTTTTTTTTTTTTAGTTCTGTATCCTGTATTGATGAAATGCAGGTTGTGTTCTGGTATGCTATTTATTTTCACATGGTCTTTTGGAGATGTCTAATTTTTGAGCCTCTGAGAGTTTTTTTAGCAGTCTGTCTTGCAGTATTTGCATCACAAAAACTTACAGCTGGAAATCCTTGTTACTTATAAACTTACTTGGGCCTCTGTCAACTATAATTCCGTCAAATGCTGTCCAGTTACTGCTTTGAGTGTGTTTATTGTAAACTAAGCAGTTTGCTTCTGCTTTAAGTTCTCCTAAAGTTACTGAGAAAATTATAAATACCCAATACTTGGCAGCATTTTGGAAAATTATTTGGTTTGATTCCAGTAATTTAGTGAAATAACGTACATAATTTCTCCTTTTTTTAAAGTTACATTTACAGTTGTGTACCCCAGAAAAAAAACAGTCCTCAGATTGCAGTTTTCAGCCCTATTAGCTTTTATGCCATCCAGAAACTTCTTCCTCGTATATATAACAGATGCATCCTTCAATATTACTTAGATGCTCTTGTGTGATTTGAATGTTACATAGTTTGTGTCAGCCTTCCAAATATCTTAGCGTTGTTCTTCATAAAGTGAATTTACTGCACACTGTCTAAATGGGAAATACATTCTGCAGTGCAATTCCTGAGCCAAAATCTTCACTGCTGTAAGATGTCATCAGTAAGTCGGTGACTTGCAAAAAGAGCCTTGAGATAAACAGCAACAAAATATTATGTTGTAGCAGTCTTTACTCAGAAAGCATTCATAACTTTAAGGCAGAGTTTACAGTCTGTGAGCTACTATTACAAATTCCAAGCCAAAAAGAAAAGCTGAAGAAGCTTACTTTGGAGTGATCCCTTCTCATATTCCAGCGCAGCTAGTATGTAGAACTGCATTGCTTTAACATCAGTGATGACTGATCACTAAGTGCTGCAACTGAGGCTGAGTGCATGCTTGAGATAGACTAAAAAGGTGAAGTTGTGGAGAATCAAGAAAAAGGAAGATAGTTTGGGAGCAGAACTGCAAGGCTGAAGGCAGATGTTCACTGGAGGAGTCCCAGAACAACTGCTATCCATCTACTTTTTGCTAAGTTGGTCCTTATCTGAACAGATACTAAGTTTTCTCTTTCAAACCTAAACCTTTCAAACCTGAAAGCTAAACCTGCCTTTCTCTTCTTACTCACATTGGCTTACTGGTTGTCTTCTAAAGCCACCAGTTGTTGATTACCGCATAATTACCACAAGTCTCCAATGTGTGCATTTCTCCTGCATTTCTGTTGCAGCTGTTGTCTGGTCCTTGGCCTCATTTACCTTTACTTCTTTTCCGTAGTTTTTCTTGGGGAGATGACTGGTTTTCAGGGAGATTTTGATGTGATTTCTCCTCAGCTACTGAGGGTGTTGTATTTCAGGCCAATATGGAAGTTGTTTAAATTGCAGGTCTGTCAAAGGGCACAGACCAGAGCAGTCGGGGAGTACTCGTATTTTGTTGTATTTCTCTGAACAGAAGAGGATAGTAGGTAAGCTGCAGAGAAGTATTAGCAAGTGATAAGTGTGTATACATGTGTAGGGAAAAAGGACTTCTTAATCACCTGCAATAAAATGCAAAGTGAACATATGACCTGGCATTCATTTCATCTGTTACTGAGATTTTGCTGCTTTTATCTACCACACTAAACCAAATACTTGTGTCAGAAGAAGAGACCAGAAATTACCGTGATGGTCTGACAGGTGATCTAGTGGGTAGCAGCCCTGCCCGTGTCAGGGGTTAGGGTTAAAGATCACCTAGTTTTAGGGTGATCTTAGGGTGATCTAGTTTTAACCCATGTTAGGGTTAAAAGTAGGTGATCTTTAAGGTCTCTTCCAACCCAAGCCTTCCTAGGATTCTAGGACTATAGTGTTACTTTGAAAACTTTCCTGTGTAAACTCATACACTTATTGGTTACTTCAAACTGCCATGACCTTGATGCATAAGATAACTTTCCTTTTGATCTCCTTTCTTAATTATTACAAACACTTATAAATTATGTATTAATCTTCCTGCCTTTTATACTGTGGTTTGATGATGTGAGGTCTTTTGCAGCGGTGCTGGCTGTATAAGGAGCTCTGACCCTAGGCAGAACGTTCTTTGTACAAAGAGAAGTGCTGAGCTGTGAATTGGATCAAGGATCCTGCCCTCTATCACTTCACATCACAAAGAAGGCCTACAAACATTTCACGGCTCATCTGAAATGCTGATACACAGTAGCACTTCTATGGGGAAAAAGTGCCTAGTGAGAGGGAGAATTTTCTTGAGTTCTTATTGCTACCTGCACCAGCATGCTGTTAAGCTTTGGCATCAGTTTCCTCTTACAAAAAGGTTTAGTCTCATCTTCTGGTGTTCTGAAAATAGCCTCAACTTGAACAATCTAGAAAGAAAATGCTTCTGCTAGAATTCTTTCTAAGGACAGTGAAGTTTTTTTGTTTTTGCTTTTTGTTCTAATGAGAAGGAGAGAAGAAGCTTCATGATGCTTTATACAGCCTAAATTAGAAATCGGTGACTTTTCAGCACATTTATAGCCTCGTGTCCTATCTGCATTACTGTGGCAATGGAACTCAGCATTGTGCAGTTGCCTATTCTTGCCCTTGGGTCTCCTTTGCCATCCACAGCTTTGGGCTCCCTAAGCTCTTAGGATGCTCTGTGCAGCCTGAGTGGACAGGACGTACCTGCTGCCAAAACAGGCTGATTTTCATTTGTTGACTTGTGCTTGCCTATTGAAACCTCTCTGTTGTGTTGTGATTGTGGAAGTTATCTCACAGGTTTAATAAATGAATAGGGAAAGTCCACATGTAAGTAATCTTCACAGCTCCATTAAATGAGTTACTGCAAGAACAATGTGAAGAACTAATAAGTGGCTCAACATCATGAATCAAGTATTTCAGGCTATTTCTTAGCATATGTACTGATACTTGGTATATCAGAAGCACCACATATCGGTATAGAATAATCACAAACTGATACTTGAAGCAAGGGAAATATTCCTTAAGAGAGGTATTTGCAAACACTTGTGTGTCAGTGTTTTCCTCAGCTCTTTAAAAACCCAAGTGTATATATTTAATGTATACTTAATGAAGGTGATTTTTTTGAGTCATTTGAAACAAATTGGTAGAATTGAATTTTGTGAGGTATGGTTCCAGTTTAGCAGTGAACTATTTACTGACTTCTTCTCTACTCACCCCATCCTTTTTGTTCTCACTGATGTTAATATCAGCACAGGTGGAGGGATCCACCTGCATGGGTTTTATTGCAGAATCTGTATCTGTGCAACTGTATGTTTATTTTCCTAAAAACTGTGTTATGAGCACAGTTCATAAAGTGGGGACTTTATGCCACAGAGAAATTGTCAGAGAATGTTTTGACTCTTTCTTAGAAGCATTAGGTCAATAGCAGTAATTCATACATAGGTTTTTTTTTAATTATTATTTCATTATAACTTACAACTTTCTCTTCTCTTTGCAGGTGGATGCACGGAGCATACCAGTGTTAGCAAAATGGCAAAATTCTTATAGCATTAAAGTTGTACTTCAAGAGCTAAGACGTCTAATGATGTCCAAAGAAAATATGAAGCTTCCACAACCTCCAGAAGGACAAACTTACAACAATTAATTTTAGCTGATTCTCAAACTTCTGTCTTAAAACAACAACCTTCTACTCATGTTAATGTCTTGATTAAATCTCACAATGCAAACACCCACACATTAAAAGAATTTCAGCTGGTATACATGACCTGGACATTTGTAAGAATATATATAATATATGTATGCCCAATATGTTTTCAGGCACTATGGGAGAAAAAGGCAGCACAATTATTTTTTTCTCTTACCAAGGCACTGTCATTTAAGCATAAGCCTGGAATAGCCTAAAATTGGAATTCAGGTTTTACAAGATGAAAGCATGACAGGAAGTGTCAGATTGCTGTGGAATAATATATGTTTCTGAAAATAATCTCTTGAGAAGGCAAAATATAAATGGCATGCTTTATCCATCTTGCTTAGTAAAAGAGCTGCAGTTAAAATTTGTTTTAAAGTAGCAGGTACAGTGAATACCGTTGCTCATCTTGTTTAATTTTGCAAGGGTGTGGGTACCGACTACTAGTAGTGTCACAAAGTATGTTCAGGATTGTTTTGATACCTGTATTTATAAAATGGGGGGATTAATTTCTGTTAAGCAGCTCCTGTGTGTTACATGTATTGGACATGGCAAATATTTGTTTACAGTCTTTGTTCTAATAAACCATGCATTTAAGTTTTAGTGAAACAAAGGAAATGTATGGATATGTGATTGAGATTAAAGTTAGTCTTAAAATGTAAATAAAATGTGGAAAGTGTCTGAGGCTGTGCCATTTCTATAACAGTGATGTATTATATGTACAGTAACTTGCAGAAGTAATGGAGAGCCAAACATAATATTGCTGCTGGTTTTACATGCACCTTCTATTCTTACATTTTGTATGCTTAGTTTACTTTAGAGGTCAAGGTATTTCTTTGGCTGCAGAGTAACGTCTGTCATCTCTGCTACCACTTCTTTATACAAACTTGCACTGTGCATGTAAAGAAAAACAAAAAACCAAACAGCCTCCCCTCCTCAAACCAAAAGCAAATATCTCATCTATCAGATCCCCCTACGCCTCCCCTCCAGAATCTTTTGAGAAATGAGCACAACTTTCAAGTGACTTACTTGACCTCTGAGCAGTTTTCAGACCGCACTTCTGAAGTCTCTCAGGTCTCTGTCGTGCTTTGGCAGTTGTTACCTCGATTCATGCATTCTTGCATCTTTCTTTCTTTTATGTTTCTTTCCTTTTTTTCTTGTCCCACCTTTGCCACTTCTCAAACACACACAAAAAGAATCTTCTGGAAGCTTTAATAAAAAACCCACACGTACCACAGATTATCTTATCTCCATCTGCTTTTCATGTGTTGTGTTTCTCACTGTCCTTCTACTTAGAATGCCTGTTGCCTCTTAAAAATGTTGGTCTGTGTTTTCAATATATATTTTTTTTTTTCTGCTGAGATCGTTGGTTTGGGTTCTGTTACTGATTTCTCATAAGAAAGTAAGCTAGCAGTGTCCTGTTGGAAATGAGATCCCTCTTGGAAAATGTGTTTGTTTATTGTGGTGAGAACATATAGCAGTGGGAATAAGTTGACTATTTGCGTTCAAGGTTTTATTCTTTCAAAAAAGTGAATTTAATCAAAAGCCATCAACAGCCAGGTAACTTCGTTTGATATGCCTTTGCCAGTCTCACATGTAAAGAACCTCTAAAAGCAATAAACTAGATGTTCTTTGCTTTCAATTGAGAAATTTAATTTTTTTTAATACTTATTATTTTTTACAAATTTGGCACTTCTAGAATTAGTGGAACTATAGCTGCCAGCTACCTCTTGTTTGTATTTATATGATGTGTCATTTGTGACAGTTTGGTGGTTTGGTTGAAGTGCACTGCAATGTTTTCCTACTTGATTTTCATTTGAATGATGCCATTAAATCCTGTTTTCTTACACTGACATTGGTATCTATAATCAGTTACAATAATGGATTCATGCAGTTCTGAGATGTGAATTTTGGGGAAAATTGCAGCATAAGCTCAAGAGAGTGAGAAATGCTCAGACTACTTATGTGATTTAAGAGACTTTCTTATTGACAGCATGAAAAATGGTCTGGTTGATCACTTGGTCATATCTGATACAAGATCATCCTGCATCATCAAGTTTTCACCCTTGTCTGTACTTGATCGGTTTGTATCTGTACTAATCTGCATATCCAACTCTAAGCAGACACACTTTGCATAGGAAAAAACAATGGTGGCGAGAGCTGACCTGAACTCTGACACCAGGGTGTGAGGTGACTGAAACATACTCCTGGAGTGGTCTTATGTGTCTTGGATTTCCCTTTTGCTCACAGTGGTACAAGAGTGTATGCAACTCCTTATGGAATGTTACAGTGCTTTTTTGACTACTGCAAGAAGTTGAAAGCCTTCCCTAAGCTGTTCTATTACTTGTGGAAGATTTTAGTGCACAGCTGCTTACTCTCCTCTGGAAGGGTTGCATTGTTTTGCTAATATCTGTGTCTGATCAGCATTTGCCCTGCAATTTGTTTTATCATGTTGTGTTTCTTTTTGATAACTTAATTTCCGTGCCAGCATTTCAAATTTCCTCTTCTTAATTTGTGTGATGTTCGTTGGGCAGGATCTGTACGTGCTGTTGTTAGCAAATGTCTGACTTTTTTTTCCCCTCAAAACTGCATTTGCATGTCTTGCGAAGTAGAGCACCATTTTCAGCCAGTTGCGTGAGGAACAAAGCTCAGAATCTAAATACAGCAACTGTTCTTCAAAGTGCATGTGAAAATTCTTAATTTGCTAGTGGTCCTGAACTGGTGTTTAAAACACTGTGCTCTGAAACTGCTGAAGTTCTTGTGTGCTGCTTTTTCAAGGGAGGGGCGAGTTCGCTGTGACATAGAGGAGTAAAAGAAAAGGTGGTTTCATGCTTTTAAACCTTAAGATATAACGAGCAATCCTATGGAAACATCCACATTAGTAATAACGTGCCTTACCCATATGTAGTGAAGGACATGAAGGTGGCAAGGTGTGCTTCTTGGTGGCACGGATCTTTCCAAAAGCATCTTGAGAATACTTGATAGCTGGCAAGGCAGAGCTACTGTGGAATAAATGCGTCATCCACGCTCCTCCAAAAAGCTATTGTACAGTGGATACGTAAAGGAAATTGCCAGCATGTCTTCTGATTTGATCAACCATAATAATAAACATTTAGGCAATTGTTTGTATTACATGGTTACTTTTAAATATATGGTGTTTGTGGGGACGTATTTCCTACGTAGTAGTTTTTGGGGCCATAATTCAGGGTTTAACACCTATTACAGTTCTCTTCCCCTATGTTTTGATGCAGGAGGATGGTGGAGCAGCTTGCCTGGTAGGGGTCCTGCGGCATGGGCAGGGTGTCTGACTACTGCTTGCTTTTATTCTGGCCTCTGCTTTCTGGAAATGCAGCCGTTGTGCCCCTGGAGTGGTTGTTTTTGCTGGGAAAGGAGGTGTTGAGCTAATTCTGTATAGTTTCCTGCAACATTTTTTTTTTCTTCAGAAGACCCGCTTTGGCACTGGAGTTATTCCCTGAAACAGTGTATTGTGTTCTTTCAGTGGCCTTAAAAATAACTTTAGAAGTACAGAAGGACAGGTTTCACTATCTGACATCAGCTTCCATAGGACTGAGTGCTCCATTCAGTGTTTAAAACAGCAGTTTTCTACGTTACCTGGGTGTTAATGCTGTCTGCAATGCTTTGTTGCTGTTATTTTTCCACTAAATTGATCCGTACCTTCTGCTCAATTGATGAACCGTTGTAAGGATGTTCAGTAAATTCCATTCCATGTGTGTTGTGTACCAGCACTCAAGTAGCATTCCTACATTCAAGTAGCTTGATGTTTTTCTGTTTACCATTTTGAAATAGTGATAAATATTAAAAGCCTTCTATTATTTATACTAGTGCCAAATGACATGAACGGGTAACATCATGGGTGATGTTGAGATAGTGCACAATTAACCAGATGGCTCTGTTCCTTTTAGGTTTTGGTATGCAAAACTTGCCATAGTAGAGAACTGTAAACCAAGAGCATGGAAACTGTGATGCTGAGATTCTAGGTTAATCAGAGTGATTGGTGATCAGTGGTCCTAAGGTGAAATGTATATGTGTGATTAATTCAGTCAGTACTATTAAAGAGGAAAAGTCTGTGTTAAATCCTTGTTGCATTTGCCAAAATATTGGATGAATTGCTGGTAATCCTGATTCCCACCTATTCTGGCCTACTGTCTTCATGTTTGTTGTTTGCTGGATGGAAGCTTCAAGAAAATATGTGATTCCAGATCATCTGGGTGCTGTGGGGCACTTGGAGCTATGGGACCTTCCACTGCTGATAAATCTTGAAAATAACGCCTTGCCGCAGCATTGCCATTTCAGGATTCATGGAGGGGATCACAGTCATCTCATTTTGTATCTTCTCAGACTTCTGTCTCATGCAATTTTTTTTCTGTATGAAGATTCACAAATAAAACGTATGATCTCTTATGGTAGAATTAACCTGTAACGATGGATTTGTTGCAGTCTTATCTGACAGTATTTCAAACTCTATCCTTACAACTGGCATCAAGTGTACAAGTCATTGCATTTAGAGCAAAGTTCTACTGAGTGCGATGTTTTCGCTCCTTAAGTGCTGTAACTTGAAGTACTGAAATAATGTGAATTCAAAATATATAGTCATCATGTTTCTGGTTAGCAATGGTTTTAATATTGCCATTCAATGACTACGATAAGTGTTTGCTTCCTTGAGTTGTCATTCAAATTAAGCATTGAGTGTTTAAAGCCTTTGTCACCTTGGTTAGCAGTGTAATGGTTATGATTTTTAGAGTGGGATGCTTAAAACACAGCACTGCTTTGGAAACTTCTCACTTCTGTTTTCAATCTGCTAAAATAACAATAATAATAAAATCGAAACTGCTTGTGTTCCTTGAAGCAGCAACTATTTCTTCCTGGCATTTCAAAAACACATTTTATCAGTTAGGAATTTTTGTGCTATTCAGCCTAACGATGTTAATTATCTCTAATGTTTTACTGTATTTATGATTTGATGATTCTGTAATATTTGTGTAATAACCAGTATTAAATCAGATGCCTACAAACACATGCACCCCTTTGCTTGACAGATGCACAGATCACATCCCCTGCTCGAATAAGCCTGTAGCTGAAGACAAAGAAACAGGAGAGTGAAGGAATTCTTGTAATTGAAATATGCCATTCAGAAATGCTTGATTCTATGCTGCAGAAAACTGAGGGCTGATGAAATGTTTGCTCAGTTTTCATACGCTTGCTTCTACTCAGTAGAAATTACACTGTGTAGTTACCTAGATATATAGATAAGGGGTTGCTTCTTCCTAAGCCAGAATGTTTTAGTGTGGTTTTTGCTGTGAGTTGTAGTGTAGCTGCTTTTTGTGTAATAGCTGGGATTTGTTTGATGTCTGTGCTATTTAAAGACAAGTGGTAGAATTCTGGGAGGTATTAAATTCATGCTGTATTGCTAATGCTTTTTAGAGAGCAGTGGCAATGAGTGGAAAACCTGAGCACTGGGCACAGCCTGGGTTTTCTGCTCTTGTGTTTTGGAATTTTGTCTTCCAGCACTGAGAAATGTACTTCATCATTGCCTGCGGCCAGGCTAAAATCTGAGCCATTGAAGCTCTTGGTTAAGCAGGGATATCCTCGGGTGATGTTTGGAGATGAGCGCTGGTGGTAGAAAGCAGTGCAATCTTTATGCATGCTTGACAGGGCTGATA